GAGCAGTTTCCAACATATCTAGGAAAGCTGTGTGTGAAATAAGTTAGCACTTCTGTTAGAAATTCCCAAATTTATCAAATCATAAAAAATTCCAACTCGTATCAACAATGCACATGTCATATCATATGCAATTCTATATGATCAAGACATTAAAACTTGAAGGAAAACGAAAGAAAACAAACTTTATCTCTCATCTTTTCAGTCGACGATCTTTTTAATCGACTATTTCTCTTCAAGCAAACAACTCTGAAGTAAACACTGCGCAAAAAGTTGTTAGTCAAATGAAACCTGGAATAATGCGCTGCAATAAGGTAGGTCGCTACGTGATACGTGTCAACATGATCTCTATGCTTCTCATTCCTATTTTCTAACAGTCCCCCCCCCCCTCCCCACCATCCACAGAAACACCAAACACACCGCCCCGGTCAAACCAATCAGACACCGCACAAATTGATTCAATATTGCCCTACCATACCAACAAATACCGTTACATCCTCCACCGACTCTCTTGCTAGGACCGCTACCACTCTGCTACAGCTCAATATTCGTTTGAATCATTTCAAAAATGTGAGTAATGATAATTGTTCGATTTAAGCAGTAAGTATATTTTAGCAATTAAGAATCAGTAGTTTGTTAGGTCGGAAGAATAGTCAAGAAATCCTAATTGAGTACAAAACTGATTATTTTTTATCATTGATTGTAAATTGAAATTTAATGATAGACAGAAGATACTCTTGATTGCATGTTTCAATATTCTAGAAGTATTGAAGCTAGATTGCTTTGCTAATTAATGAATAAGAGAAAAAAAGATTGCTTTAATTAATGGAAAATGTGAGATAATCCAAAAAAATAAATGCTAATAACATCAACAAACGGATCTGTTAAGGAAATTAATCGGAATTTCTTTATTATTCAATTTTAATAAACTTTTTTTTTGCTGAAAGATATGCAAAATATGGGATAGCTTTTGCTCTACATATAATTTGATCTCAATGTCATATTGCTTAATGCTTACAATAAGCGCCGTGATAATTATCACTGTCAACTTGTTGTTTGCGCTATACAATGTTAAAAGTTGCGGCAGGTTTTTAGAATGATAAATTAATTCCATAGTTGTGATAAGCTTTTATGAGAATATAAAAGATATGACGTGTGACGTATATTTTATTATGAAGAAATCATTTATGTAATAGCAATAATAAATCGGGAATCGGATTTTTCCTCATTCTGTTGCTAATTGATTAAAGTTACTTTTCTCCAACAATCATGTATGTTTGCAACAAGTACAATATGATATGATTTTACCATGTATATATTGCATATGTCTTGGTATTCGATATATAATTTCCAATTTTTTATTCTATCGTTAGCAGCGTATAATAACCATGCAGCAACTATGAAATATGATGTGTGGAAACGTGAAAATGAAACTGAATTATTATATAATATAGCTGACCGAGTATTTGTTAAATATTTTTCAAGTAAATGAATGGAAAAATTAAAGAAAAATAGTACTCCTAATGTCAGAAAGCAGTAAAGTTCATAAATCTTCAAGCATAAAGCAATACAGTTCATAGATCACATTCGACCAAAGCAGTATAGTTTATAGATCTTCAAGTACAAAGCAGTACAATTTGATTTCAACTTTCATATTCTATTGAAATAAGTCACTGTTAAATACGATTAAGAAGTATACGTATTATGATAAGAAAAAATAAAAAATTCAAAAAATTATCAAATTCAGAGAAAAAATTTTCACCATGCTATTTGTCGCGAAAGTCGCGAAAATTAAAATAAATTTTATACAAATTAAAAGGAATGCTTTCCATGACTCATTAGTTATCT